GCTGCTCGTTGCCTTGGTTCTTGAACTCACCTGCAGGGACTGCGCTCTGACAAAGGTGACAAAGGAGTTCCCCAAGCTCCTTGTCGGGTCTCCTCTCAGTGGCAGATCTCATGTACACCAGTGGGCCTTAGTCTGGGCTTTAGTCCACCTCCTGTCCTGGGAACAGTAGTCTTGCCCAACTGGCCCATACGCAAAATTTGGTCCTTACTGTTGGGTGCTACAGCCTAGTCACCCTCATCCATGTCCCAACGCAGTTCTCTTGTGGCCTAGTGGGAGCAAAAACCTATCTTTAGCCTGTCCTATACCCACTCTGACTCTCACGAGCATCAGTGGGTGCTGGAGATTAGCCCAATCTGGCACACCCCAGACCCAGTCCACACCTATGCCGAGGGACACTGCAGCCATGTCCGACACAGAGCACCACCCTGATTCTGGCTCTTGTACTTATCAGTGGGAACCATAACCCAGTCGGGGTGTCCCCTTAGCTACCCAACCAGGTCTGCTCCCAGCACCAGATTTTGCGCATGCCAGTGGTTGCTCTGACCCAGGTCTGCAAAGGCCTTCCCCTGTCTTGACCTTTGCTATCGGATGCTGCAGCCTGGCCTGACCCGGCCTGCCCCCAGTTACAACTCTCAGCTGCTGAGCCTACTTCCCTCTTTGGCTAAGAACTGACACAGGCCAATGGGGGAAAAACCACCTAGGTTTTGTTTTGGGCTTTGAGATCAAATGAATATTTTCTTTCTAATCTCAGGGGTAGGAAAGGTGTTCCCAGGTAAGACACAAAACTCAGAAGCAATAAAGGAAAAAAAAGAACTTCCTGCTTGGAGATGAAAAACTGGTCCCATGCAGAGGTTCTCCAAGCGCCGGGGCTTGCTCTAGAGACACCAGCTACGATGCTTGGCAGCCCATCTTGCGCTGCCTGAGTTTGATGCTTCCTGTTCCTGGTGAGCCCGATGGGCAGCAGTGACTGCTCATGGCCTTGGGCTCCTGCCAGGCTGGCCACTGGGCCTGAGTTTTTTTTTTTTTAAAGATTTATTTTTATTATTATTATTTTTTTATTGGAAAGGCGGATGTACAGAGAGGAGAGACAGAGAGGAAGATCTTCCGTCCGATGATTCACTCCCCAAGTGAGTGCACTCCCCAAGTGAGCGCAACTATGCCAATCCGAAGCCAGGAGCCTCTTCCGGGTCTCCCACGCGGGTGCAGGGTCCCAAAGCTTTGGGCCATCCTCGACTGCTTTCCCAGGCCACAGGCAGGGAGCTGGAAGGGAAGCGGGGCTGCCGGGATTAGAACCGGCGCCCATATGGGATCCCGGGCGTGCAAGGCAAGGACCTTTAACCACTTGCGCCACCGCGCCGGGCCCTGGGCCTGAGTTTTTAGCTCCTGTATCCCTCACTCAGCTACCACTGCAGACACATGGAAAGGGAATCAGCAGAGAGGAGCTCTCCGTTTCTCCAATAGGTAAGTAAGATGCTTTTTTTTAATTTAAAAATCCTACAAACTACAAGGCAAGTAACGAACAGAAAATACCTCAGGGCTGGTGTGATGACTCAGCCGCCTAATCTTCCACCTGCACACACACTTAGATCCCAAATGGGCTCTGGTTTGTGTCCTGGCTGCTCCACTTCCCACCCAGTTCCCTGTGAATGACCTGGGAAAGCAGCAAAGGCCCAAAGCGTTGAGACCCATTACCCCCATGGGGCTTCAGAATGGCTCAGCTCCAGCCATTGTCATTTGGGGAGTGAACCAGCAGAGGGAAGGTTTTTCTCTGTCTCTCCTTCTCTCTATAAATCTGCCTAAATCTTTTATTAAAAAAAAAAAAAACAGAGAACATCTCAATGTTTATACTTAAAAATACACTTAAGGATCTTTATGTTTGGAGCATGTAAAAAACTCCAAAAAGTGAAAGAAAAGGGCCTGGCATGGCAGCCTAGCAGCTAGAGTCCTAGCCTTGCACACCCAGGATCCCGTGTAGGGACCGGTTCTAATCCTGGCGGCCCTGCTTCCCATCCAGCTCCCTGCCTGTGGCCTGGAAAAGCAGTGGAGGACAGCCCAAAGCCTTGGGACCCTGCGCCTGCATGGGAGACCCGGAAGAGGCTCCTGGCTTTTGGCTTCGGATCGGCTCAGCTCCAGCCATTGCGGCTACTTGGGGAGTGAACCAGTGGACACAGGATATTTCTGTCTCTCCTTCTTTCTGTAAATCTGCCTTTCCAATAAAAATAATTAAAAGAAAAACAAACACAAGAGCCAGCCAATGGACAGGATTCCAACGGGCAATCAAGAAACAGGCATGGGGTACAGCGGGATAAGCTGCAGCTTGAAACGCCTGCAGCACTGCTGAGCGCAGAGAGTGCCCCAGCTGCTGTGGTTCTGTCCCAGCTCCCTGCTGACCCAGCAGAGGATGGCCAGGTCCTTGGCTTGTTGCCATTCACACGGGAATCCTCGATGTTCCTGGCTCCTGGCTGCAGCCTGGCACAGCCCTGGCCATACTGGACATTTGGGGAGTGAACGAGTAGATGAAACAGCTTTCTCTCTTTTTCTCTGCTATTCAAATGAAAAGGTAAATCTTTTCTAAAAATGACTGACCGAGAGGTGAAAGGAGAAATGCGCAGAATCCAGCCATGAATTGCACTTCCCTCAGCAGCACAATGGCCTGCCTGCTCCCACCTGCTGGCTGGCTGCTGCTCTCCACCTGCAGTGGCCGGGCACTGTCCCGGGTCCTCTGTCTACAACTACTCACGTGAAGCTGGGCAGTCCCCTCCAGTGACAGCCTTCCCCTCTGCCTGCAGCTTCACTTCCCCTTACGCTGCCATACGGGACTCCTGTGCAGTCTGAGGAGTCGGCGGTGTTTGTGGGCTTGCTGCAGACACCTGCCTGCCGTGCCTCTGTATGCCCAGGACACACTCCTGCTTGCAGCTCTGCCGTTGTTTAGCAGTAAACATGTCTACCCACGGTTACATGCACAGAAATGTCCAAACAGTGACCACACTGTCCATGTTCATGTACAACAATACCACCACCACCAAACTGTATTGTTGCTTAGAAAGCCAGACTAACTCTGTAACAGTTTATCAATTTCACGGAACAAAATACAACCATTGGGCCCAATGCCGTGGCCTGGCGGCTAAAGTCCTCCTCTTGAACGTGCCAGGATCACATATGGGCGCCGGTTCTAATCCCGGTGGCCCTGCTTCCCATCCAGCTCCCTGCTCGTGGCCTGGGAAAGCAGTTGAGGACGGCCCAAAGGCTTGGGACCCTGCGCCTGTGTGGGAGACCCGGAAGAGCTCCTGGCTTCTGGTTCCTGGCTTCGGATCGGCACAGCTCCGACTGTAGCGGTCACTTGGGGAGTGAATCATTGGACGAAAGATCTTCCTCTCTATCTCTCCTCCTCTCTCTATATATCTGACTTTGCAATAAATGGAAAATAAACCTTTAAAAGAACAAGCATTAAAAATGCTGGCATGACATCCATCCATATGGCAGAATTCTCATTGCTTGATGCCAGATAGATGGCTCATGAACCCTGATGTCTTTTTTTTAAAAGCATTAAAAATGTCCAGGGATTGGGCGGCCAGGCGGCCGGCCAGCAGCAGGACCCGGCAGGACTCTGCAGCCATTCTGGCATCCAAGGCCTTCAAGTATTTGGCCAGGGCCTCAGTGAGCCTCAAGGGTGGAGGACCTGGCAGGACTTGAGGCGCCTGGCCCAGGTCTCTTGGCTTGCCCGTGAGCTGGGTGCTGGGTTCCTGAGCCCCAGGGGTGGGGGATCCGGCAAGGTTTGGATGACTGTCCCAGGTCCTTGGGCTCACCTGCAAGAGCATCTCCTAATTAGTGAAAAATGTGGAGCAGTGGACACAGTCCGTGCTGCAAAAGGAGACTACGGCAGCTCCTTTGGTGTCATGGCAGAACAGAACTGGACAATTATCCCAGTCAAATGACGACAGCAAAATAATCCCAGTGGATGGAGACTCAAGGATTACTATGTCAGCCAGTGGACACTGGCACGGTGGCTTCATCCTTGAATCGGAACTATCCAAACCACTTGGGCAGAACCCTCGGAATACGTACACACGGAGACCCTGGGTTAATATGAGGTGGTGGTTCCTCATCCCTGGGTACTGGGACGTTTGCAAAGTCATGTGCGGCTTCTCTCTTTGTCTCTCCCCTTCCCCCACAAACAACAAGAAGAAATAGCGAATGAGGAAACAATGAGTCTACCCAATTTTCCGTAAACCTTGATCCTTCCCACCCTGATCAACCATTTAATCATTATAAACAATAAAAATTTAAAAAAAAATTAGCAATGGTAAAACTGCATCTGCCCAAAGAAAGCGCGGACGGAGAGGTATCCAAATGTTACCTGTGCGGCCCTGCAGGTGCTGAGCCGGAGGCGATTTATGGCTTGCTGCAATTTTCGGTTTCCGCAAAAGACAAGCTATTTCGACAATCCTTTTTTTTTTTTTAAGCATATATTGTATGTAAAAGAAGCTGCTACTCCTATGAAGCAACAAAACCGCTGTCCCCTGGCGCAGTGGCTGCGCGCCGCGTCCCGCCCGCACGCCGTCGCCCGCAGGTCGCCGGATGCCAAGCCCTGGCCAGTCCCGCAGGCCGCAGCGCCCCCGGTGGCAGGTCCGCGGCGACGGGAAGGGGGTGGGCGCCGAGGACCGGGAGGCGGCGCCGGGCGTCCCCGCGCTTCCCGCGAGATCCCGCTCCGCCCGCTCCGCCCCGCGCGCCGCGCTCCCAGCTCCCCGCGCCGCGGCACTTCCTGCCTCCCGCGCCCGCGCCGCCCCGCGCCCGCGCCCGCCGCCTGCCGCCCGCCGCCCGGCTCTGCGCTCGCAGGCGCTCCCCGAGGTGCTCCCGGCCCCGCCGGGTCGCCGCCCCGCCCGCCGCCCCGCGAGCCGCTTTGTCTCGGGCGGGGCGCGCGGGAGAGGCCGCCAGGTGCCCCCCGCCGCGGGCCAGGGCCCCCCGCCCCGGGGCGGCAGCGGCGGTGCCGGGCCCCGGGGCGGGGGGCACGCCGCGATGGGCCCCAAGCGGCGGCAGCTGACGTTCCGGGAGAAGTCGCGGATCATCCAGGAGGTGGAGGAGAACCCGGACCTGCGCAAGGGCGAGATCGCGCGGCGCTTCAACATCCCGCCGTCCACACTGAGCACCATCCTGAAGAACAAGCGCGCCATCCTGGCGTCGGAGCGCAAGTACGGCGTGGCCTCCACCTGCCGCAAGACCAACAAGCTGTCCCCGTACGACAAGCTCGAGGGCTTGCTCATCGCCTGGTTCCAGCAGATCCGCGCCGCCGGCCTGCCGGTCAAGGGCATCATCCTCAAGGAGAAAGCGCTGCGGATCGCGGAGGAGCTGGGCATGGATGACTTCACTGCCTCCAACGGCTGGCTGGACCGCTTCCGCCGGCGGCACGGCGTGGTGTCCTGCAGTGGCGTACCCCGCGCCCGTGCGCGGAACGCGGCGCCCCGGACCCCGGCGGCACCCGCCAGTCCGGCTGCCGTGCCCTCCGAGGGCAGCGGCGGGGGCACGGCAGGCTGGCGCGCTCGCGAGGAGCAGCCGCCGTCGGTGGCCGAGGGTTACGCCTCGCAGGACGTGTTCAGCGCCACCGAAACCAGCCTGTGGTACGACTTTCTGCCCGAGCAGGCCGCGGGGTTGTGCGGTGCTGGTGGCAGTGGTGGCGGTGGTGGCGACGGGAGGGCCCGCCAAGCCACCCAGCGCCTGAGTGTGTTGCTGTGCGCCAACGCCGACGGCAGCGAGAAGCTGCCCCCGCTGGTGGCCGGCAAGTCAGCCAAGCCCCGCGCGGGACAAGCCGGCCTGCCCTGCGACTACACCGCCAACTCCAAGGGTGGTGTCACTACCCAGGCCCTGGCCAAGTACTTGAAGGCCCTGGACGCCAGAATGGCCGCAGAGTCCCGCCGGGTCCTCCTGCTGGCAGGCCGCCTGGCCGCCCAGTCCCTGGACACTTCAGGCCTGCGACACGTGCAGCTCGCCTTCTTCCCTCCAGGCACCGTGCATCCCTTAGAGCGGGGAGTGGTGCAGCAGGTGAAGGGCCACTACCGCCAGGCCATGCTGCTCAAGGCCATGGCTGCGCTCGAGGGCCAGGATCGCTCTGGCCTGCAGCTGGGCCTCATGGAGGCCCTGCACTTCGTGGCCGCTGCCTGGCAGGCGGTGGAGCCTTCGGACATTGCCGCGTGCTTCCGGGAGGCTGGCTTTGGGGGTGGCCCCAATGCCACCATCACCGCTTCCCTCAAGAGCGAGGGGGAGGAAGAGGAGGAGGAGGAGGAAGAAGAGGAAGAGGAGGAAGAAGAAGAGGGAGAAGGGGAGGAGGAGGAAGAGGAAGAAGAAGAAGAAGGAGAGGAAGAGGAGGAAGGAGGGGAAGGAGAAGAGTTGGGAGAGGAAGAGGAAGTGGAGGAGGAGGGGGATGTCGATGAGAGCGATGAAGAAGAGGAGGAAGACGAGGAGGAGGAAGAGAGTTCCTCTGAGGGTTTGGAGGCCGAGGACTGGGCCCAGGGAGTGGTGGAGGCCGCAGGCAGCTATGGGGGCTACGGCGCCCAGGAGGAGGCTCGGTGCCCTGCCCTGCACTTCCTGGAGGGCGAGGAGGACTCGGAATCAGACAGCGAGGAGGAGGAAGGTGAGGACGAGGAGGAGGACGATGATGACGATGAAGATGAGGATGAGGATGGCGATGAGGTGCCTGTGCCCAGCTTCGGGGAGGCCATGGCTTACTTCGCCATGGTCAAGCGGTACCTGACCTCCTTCCCCATCGACGACCGGGTACAGAGCCACATCCTGCACTTAGAACACGATCTGGTCCACGTGACTAGGAAGAACCACGCCAGGCAAGCGGGAGTGCGGGCTCTGGGGCACCAAAGCTGAGCCTCCGCCTGGCCGTGCCCCTGGCCCTCACTGGCAGCAGCAGCCCGGGACAGAGAGAAAGAAACCCCTGGGTCACTGCTGTGGATGGAGCCAGAGGTGGGGCCAGCGGGGAGCCCTGCGCCCTTCAGGGCAGCAGGCACGCCCCGGGTGGGCTGCAGCCAGCCTCCCACCTGCTTCTGGCCCCTTTCTCTGAATCCTCTTTTCTCCCCATTTACCCCTGGGCTCTGGAGACCAGGCGGAGTGGGTGGGGAGCTGTCCGGTGCTACCATGCCAGCCCATCAGTGGACTAAACCACGGCAGCAGCCAGGGTTGGAGCCTGCGAGCTGCCGGCCGGATAGTGCCTCTCCCCTCTGCCGTCCACACCAGGTCTTTGGTGGGGGGGAACCCCAAAGCCATTCTGAGAAGGGCTCCAGGGGACAGTCCAGCCTTGGTCCCTGCAGGGCTGGCAGCCGCCCCCCCAGCCCATCCCCGGGCCACTTGGAGAAAGCACATCTAACGCATGGCACTCATGGCAGGCGGCTGAGCCTGCCTCCGCTCCGCCTGCTTCCCAATTCCCTACTCCCAGTGTGTAAGCCAGTCTGTGTGACTTTGGCCCTTGGTTTGCTTTCTTGATGAGAGGTTTCCAAGAGGCGCTCCAGGGGAGTGGCACTGGGCACCCCCCTCGTGGGCAGCTGCAGGCCCTTGCCTCTCCTCCCTCTCTGGCAGGGCCCTTCCTGGGCACAGGGGCCTGGGGCTGGGCCCATAGTCCAGCCGTCCAGCTGCTCCTCCCCCCAGTTTGAATTCAATAAATCCGTCCACTCCCTTTTGTGGGGAGTGAGCGTTTTAACAGCCGAGGGTGCATCCTTCGTGGTCTGGGCTTGCGTCTGTCTTGGGGGGGACACGTCCTTTCCTGGTTCTCCTTGGTCCTGGCTCTTGGTGGGACATGGGAGCAGGTGCTGATGGGGTGGCCCGGCCCAGGGCGAGGGGCATGTAGGGAGCACCTCAAGAGCCACATCCAGGCTTGAGGGGAGAGGGGGTCTCCAGTGCACCCACACCAGGGAGGAAGGCTTTGAGGCAGGCCTTTGGGTTAGGAACCTGGGGGTGCCTGGGCTGGGCAGGCAGGCTGTCTCTGACCAGATGATGCAGCAGTCATGCACCAGGGCCCAAGCAGTCCAGCCCAGGTGTGGTTTCACAACAGCCTGGACGGAAAGAAGAGGGCATTTGGGCTGGGAGGCAGCCTCGATGCCATTCAGTGACGCATTGCCACGCTTGGTGGCTTGGTGGCTACTGGCGGTGGTGGTGGGGGGAGGGACAGTGGCAGGAGGAAGCTGAGTTGCACCCCAGGAGGTTGAGGCTGCCCTCCAGAGGACTCCCCGCTCTGCAAAGGGCAGCCCTTTCCTCCTTTCCCCTTCCCAAGCCTGGGCCCTCCCTCCCCCCATGAGGCCTTCAGCCAGGGAAGGCCTGAGCCCCACAGGCAGCTCTGGGCCCCAAACCGGTTTTCCCACCCAGCCTGAGGCTGGCACAGAACCTCTAGTTCCTTCCACCACCCCGCCCCACCAAGTTCCTCCTGTCCCCACCCTGGAATGTTTGGGGGAGGGTCAGAAGGGGGGCAGTTGGATATCCAGGCCATCTTTTGGGCCTGGTCGGCCCTGGGGGTGCCCCCTTCTAGCATGCTACATGACCTGAATACATGGGGATGAGCCAAGTGACAGGCAAGTCGCAGGGGATTCCCTGGCTCCTCCCACAACCCCAGCCCTGAAGGAGAAGGCCAGAAAGCCCTAACAGAGCCCAAGGAAACTCCTGGCCTTCTCCCCAGAAGTCCCCGGTCGGCCCAGGTCCCTCAACCCAAGTGCCTTCCGCTGGTCTCCTGCCAAGAACACCACTTGGCAGGGACCGGTGACTATCTCATCCATGACCTGGCACCCGATGCCACCCGGGGCTCTCGCTGAGGGCTTTGCCCACAGAAGGCAGGTAACACATGGACTGCTGGCCCCAACAGGGTGGCTGATGTGCCTGAAGCCACATGGGGCTGGGTACAGAAATCTACAACGGTTGCTTGGTGAGAGGAGGTGTGTGGGAGACCCTGCTAGAGCTCCTGTGGCCTCCGAGTCTCGCCAGGCCCCCCTCAGCACACACATGCACACACAGGTCTCCTGGAGACAGAACCGTTTCCAGGGCAAGGGCAGAGCCATTCCGTTTCAACAATAGGGCCGAGGAGTGACATGACCCAGAGTGGTTCTCCTGGGAATGCACTTCCATCCCCCGTCCAGGCTCTGCTATGTGAGGGTACAGAGTGACCCCCACAAGCACAGAGCTTTGAAGAGGGAGCCCCCAGGAAGTGCTGTCACAAGGCCAGGTAGTATGTTATTAGCAATGAACCCTGAGGGAGCGCAGGCAAACGCTGGGTGCTGCCTTCTTTGAGAGTGAGGGTTCAAGGGCATGAGGATATTAGTTATGCAAGGATGCGAGGTGTTGCCTCGACCTCAGTGGGTCCCAGAAAGGGTGGTCAGCACGTGGTGCGGGCTACAGGTCATATCTTTCTGGGAAGGTGGGAAAGACACCTGTCTAACTGTATTTTCAAAGCTAGGACCTGGAAGGACCGTAGCGGGGGTGGGGGCAAACTACAATTCCCAAAAGGCACTGCTCCCAGGCGAGTCGGGAGTGGTTGCCATGGTTTCAGAAAACAATATGGCCGCTCTCAGCTGGGACGCGAGTCTCCCGGTGAGACGGAGACGCGGAACCTGGCGTCTGCGGTAGGAAGAGAGGGAGCTCTTGCGGGGTGCTGAGGTGGAGGTCTGGGTGCTGCACGGGAACGGCCTGGCCTTGGCGAAGCTGCCAATGGCGACCAGCGTGGACGAGGAGGCGCTGCACCAGCTGTACCTGTGGGTCGACAACATCCCTCTGTCCCGACCCAAGCGAAACCTCTCCCGGGACTTCAGTGATGGAGGTGCGTGCCCCAGAGTGCGTGTCCGCACGCACATGGTCGCGCAGTGCTTCTGTGCTAGCGGCTGTGTCTTGGGGGTGGAATCAGTTTACTGGGACTTGGATTTACATCTGTTTGTGAACAGTATGTCTTTGCCTACGCGTCCCATCGTGTGTGCAGGCGGGTGTGTGTGTGTGTGTAATCCCAACCCCAGGGCCCTGGGTCTGTGTGTGTGTGTGTGGGGGGCATCCCTGTAGATCTCTGGCTTGGGGCTTTGGGCTCCTGGAGGGGTCTCTGGGAGACTCGCAGTCAGCTGGAGGGGCAGAGGCGTCGGAGTCTCCACGCCCTGTGTCCTCGGGGACCAGGTATGTGCTCCCTTTGTCCTTTTGGGCCTCTAACTCTGCCTGCCTCCCTGCTCCTTCCACCCCACCCTCCCTTCTCCCACCTCCTTCACTCACTCCTTGCCTTCTATGTCTGCTTGTACCCCTCCCCTCAGTCCTGGTTGCAGAGGTCATCAAGTTTTACTTTCCCAAGATGGTGGAGATGCACAATTATGTCCCTGCCAACTCTCTCCAGCAGAAACTCAGCAACTGGGGTCACCTAAACAGGTAGCAGCGAGCTTGGACCCAGGAGTGTCCAGCCCCACCCTCACCTGCCCCCTTGGGTTCCCAGGAAGGGTTACCCTAAGGCCTTCATCTGTGCTCTCGAATGCCCAGGCTGGGGCTGTGTTGCTGGCAGAGTGGGGAGGACCGACAGAGAATCCACCTGTTAAGAAAGTCAGGGGAGCCTTCTGATGAGCAGAGACAGGGACCGTGGGAGTACCCAGCAGAGGGGCTCACCTGTGGTGCCTTCCCCTCAACGTTCCACACTGCATTCCCCCAGAACCCAATCTCTGTGTGTGTGCCCCCTCCCAGGAAGGTGCTGCACAAGCTGAACTTTTCAGTCCCTGACGACGTAATGCGCAAGATTGCACAGTGTGCCCCGGGCGTGGTGGAGCTGGTGCTCATCCCACTGAGGCAGCGCCTGGAGGAACGGCAGAGGCGCAGGAAGCAGGGCTCTGGCTCCTTACAGGTGCTGGGCCGTCTCCCAGGCAGCAGAGATGCCTACTTGGGCAATGAGTGTGGGGAAGGGGTATCTGGCAACGAGGGCCTGGCCTGGACATGGGGAGGGAACAGGGGACTTTTTGGTAGAAGAGGAGACCAGGCTCACAGATGGGGTATCTGTGTCGGGGGTCTTTCAGGAGCTGGCACCCCAGGATGGCAGCGGCTACATGGATGTGGGTGAGCTGGCCTTGTCCTCCTGCCTTTCCCATTGCTGGTGGGGATACAGGAGGAGGAGATGTGGGCGTTCTGGAGTTCCTGATGCTCACCCTTCCACCTGCCCCCTCTCAGGTTTGTCACAGAAAGCTCAAAGGGAGAGTGTCCCAGACCCCCAGGGAGGGGCACAGTTCAGGTAAAGCAGCCTGGCACAAAGTTGGGGTGGGAGGGTGGAGTAGTGGACACTGGACTAAGGAAGGTGCTGAGGTACTTCTCGCCCACAGGGGGACCCAGCCTCCAGGACAGAGCCAGGCACTGCAGAGCAACCCCAACTTTGTCCTCCAAATTGCGGAAAAGGAGCAGGAACTGTTGGCCTCGCAGGAGACTGTGCAGGTGAGGGACTGAGAGATGGGGTGGCGGGGGCATTGGCCTTGAGCTTGTGCGGGGTGCCCAGGTCCTGCAGAGGATGGGTAGGAGAAGGGGGTGTCGGCCTTGACCTTGTGCCAGATGCCTGGGTCCTGTAGGGGTGGGGTGGGGGCAGGGTAGGAGGTGGGGGGATGCCGGCCTTGACCTTGTACGGGGTGCCCAGGTCCTGTAGAGGCAGGGTGGGGCAGGGTAGGAGGAGGGGGTGCCGGCCTATACCTTGTGCCAGATGCCTGGGTACTGTAGAGGTGGGGTGGGGGCAGGGTAGGAGGTAGGGGGTTGGCAGCCTTGACCTTGTGCCAGATGCCCAGGTCCTGTAGAAGTGGGGTGGGACAGGGTAGGAGAAGGGGGTGCCGGCCTTGACCTTGTGTGGGGTGTCCAGGTCCTGCAGATGAAGGTGAGGCGTTTAGAGCACCTGCTGCAGCTCAAGAATGTGCGCATAGAGGACCTCTCCCGGCGGCTTCAGCAGGCTGAGCGTAAGCAGCGGTGAGCGGCTGCCAGGGGACATGGCGGGGGCTGCCCCCCGACTGGCCCTGCCAAAGCCCAGCAGACGCAGCCACAGGGAGACCAAGGATTGGGAGGGTTGAGCCTCCCTAGGGGAGCCATTACTTTCCTCCCTTGGAATGGTGTGTGTGTGGGAGTTAAGTGGTGGTGGGGGGGATGGTGGGACAGCAACCCTCAGAATGGACACCCAACACAGAGGAGTCTCCTTCCAGTCTACCTGGGTCAGGAAAATGGCACATTTTCTAGAGCTTGAAGCCACCTGCAGACACCTGGAGTGCCCCCTAAAGCGGTGCTCCGGGCCTGGGGCTCCTCCTCTGGGGGGAAGGGAGGACTGGTTCCACTCAACAGTTCCAGAACCAGATTCCCAACCATTTCTGAGAACAGCAGCGTCTCCATGCAGGATGGCTTTGGCTGGTGGGTGGAACAGCTCCCTGGAGATTGGGGCTCCCTGGTCCCTGTTGGGTGCCCATCTGTGACCCAGCTTGGGGCTGAAAAGGGAGGGGTGAGGTGACATCAGGTGTTCTTATAGCCATGGCCCTCCCTCCCTGCCGGCTCCTGTGGGTGATGTTTGGCGGGGGGGTATGGTACAGGGCTGCCCCCAGTAAAGTTGCTGTGCTGTCTCCTGGGCCTGCCTTCTCTTTGTGCCTGCATACCTCGGGGTAGTCGGTTCCCGCCCCGTGCTCCTTCAAGCCCTCTTCCCACTCTTTCTTTCTTGAGGGAGAGGGGAAGGGAGAAGGAAGGGACGGAGATCTTTGATCTTCTGGTTCAGTCCCCTCAAATGCCTGCAACAGCCAGGGCTAGGCCAGGCTGAAGCCACGAGGCAGGAGTTTCATCTGTGTCTCCCACTTGGAAGTCTGCCTCCCAGGTGCTGAATTAGAGGTATGGAGCAGCCAGGACTTGAACCAGCTGATGCAGGACACAGGTACCCCAGGTGGCATCTCAAGCCACTGTGCCACAATATCTGCCCTGTCGTCTGTTTTAATTTATAAAATAGTATCATCTGCACCAAATTTATCAGTCCATTTACAGATATTTGAGTGATTTCTGATAGTCATTCACGACAATAGCCTCCTATGTCAATAATTTAGCATCATACATGTGTATTTATCTGTGTGTGTCGCACAAGCAGAATATATTGCTGGGTTAAATAGACAATAGTGTTTTTAAAAGTTTGTGGAAAATGATATGAAAAGATAAGTTTATGTTGATCTAAAAAATTCTGAAGTCCACGCGGTTTTTCTCATCATGCCTATTTCCATGGATTTTTCTGAACACCATTGTGTGTGTGTGTGACCAGAAGGCATGCCGCAGAACAGAGGCCAGAGCCGGGTGGCCTTGGCCCAGCTCGCACTCACACAGTTAGTGTGTGGACACTGTGAATGGCCCATTTCTGTGTTGACAAGGATATGGAGCAACAGGAACTCTCACACTGCTAATGGGAGTCTAAGTAAGGACGATTGTTTTGAAGACAATTTGGCAGTTTCTTGTAAGATTGAAACTACACCTGTGCTGTGGCATCGATTGTTCCCTTGAGAAGCAGAGGCTTGATTGTGAGAGCTGGAGCCTCAAGTGCACAGGTCAGGCTGTTGGGAAGGGAAGAGGGACAGGAAGCAAGGGGTGCTGGAAGAGCTGGAATCTGTGAGGGCCAGCTGGAGCCTCAAGGACAAGCCAGAATGTGTGGCTGTTCTTGTCCCTTGCCAACTTGCTGCTGCGGGTAAACTGCAGAAGGAGCGGCCCACTTTACCATCTGGCCCATGAGGCAGCGCTACCACGGGCCTAGCTGCCACCCCGGGTTGGTGAGGTGGGGCAGTGGTGGGCAGCAACACGCCCAGGCTACAGAGCCCCTCCTGGAACTGGCCAAAACCAAGCCCAACATTGCCACCCTCTTGCTCCCACCGCCATGCAGATGGCACGCAGAAATCTCTGCTGTGGCCAGCCCTAATTGAAAACATACACGAAAGGGAATTTGGGAAATGCAGTTCGCTCTAGCTAAGCTGACACATACCAAAAACACCACAGTAATGTCCTATTCCCAATTCCACTCCTAAATAGATACTCAAGTGCAGACAGATGCTCACCCAAAGACCTGCACTGGAGTAGAGTGTATTATGTGTTTCTGAATGACCTGAGAGGGAACGAGGGAGCGAGGAGGTGCGTGAGTGCCCCCCTCCCTCCAGGAGGCTCACAGGGACAAGGTGTGGGCCAGGCTGAAGCCAGTCCAAGTCTCCCAGAGGAAGGGCAAGGACAGAGCTCCCCGAGTGGCCACCTGCTGTGTCCTGGGCTGTGCCTTAGCAGGAAGCTAGCCAGAAGATCCAGGTCTGAAACCCAGACACGGTGAGTAAGCAGGACTCTGTGAGGCTCATTCATGCTGTTGTGTTCCATGGGTTGTTGGTTGTCACTGACATATTCTGTTGGTGGACGCTGGAATTAGTCTCACTTCAGGACTCTTACAAGGCTGCAACAATTCATAGTACATACTTCCTGTGAACTTTGTCAAGATCCCTTCTACATACTGTATGGATTTCATATTTCCATGCTTCACAGTCAACATTTTCTAATTCTGTGCGTGTTCTTGTCTTCTGGAGTATATTTTGAAGGGAATTACTGGGCAGAGGGTCTGGCATTTATCAGTTTTATCAAATACTGCCAAGCAGCTTTGTACTTGTTCCGGTGCCAATCTGTTTTCCTAATCCGGAGTTCCTCTGCAGTCCTTGCTGGGGCGCTCGTGACTCCCCATCTCTAAGGAGCCCGGCAGGGGCCCATGGCTTCCCTCATCACTGTCATGTTGCTCTACGAAGCCAACCCGTGGGCATCATGGTGCTACAGGCACACTTGTTGCAACCAGGCTACACCTACCCTGACTTCCTTTTGGCATAGAGTCTTTTGGAGAATTCTAGAAACAGTTATGTGATTTAGTGGGGTGCAGTGGTACCCCAGGCACAGGCCACTGAGCATCCCTGTTCCTCCCAGGTGGTCCCATTGCTGGAGGCCTGGCAGTGCGAGGACTGTCTACAAGGGACGGGGGACCACAGTACTAAGGAACCTAGCATTTGCTCAGTACATACACTCAGCGAGCAGTGTTGAAATAATAATTAAGAAATAGCTGCAGGCAGTCCACCGTAGAGGTGGTTTTGAGAAGTTAGGTAGAAAGGTTTGATTTTAAAAAAGAAAAGGCCTTAACCTGCCTGCAGGCAGGGTGAAGTTGGGCGACGTGGGTAAGACTTTCAGGCCGGAAGGCAGAACCAGGGATGGGGAGAGATTTGCAGAATCAAATGCTTGCACCGTGGGATAAGGCAAGATAAACGTGGGGACCAATGGCAGGGCTTGCGGAGGGTCTGTGTGTCCTGAAGAGGTTGTGCCAGACTTGCAAGGAGCCGGGAAACCAGATTCCTTTGTGAAGGAAGAAGGGGATGGGGGTAGGGGGTGAAGAGGAAGAATGATTCTGAAAAAGCTCCACGTGAGCTAAGAAAAACACATCGGCAAGCTACTTCCTGCCAAGTTCAACCTTGAAGTTCGGCAGATGAGAGTACGTTGAGGAGGGGGTGGATTACAGGTGCACGGGAGCGTGGGAGTGGGCAGGAGCTGGTGCGCTGGGCTCAGAAGGCAGCAAGGTCTCCAGAGGACGGCGTCTTTGCCAACACCAGAGCGTCACCCCTGGACACTGCTCAAGCTTCGAAGCCGTGCTGGAGACAGTTCCAGAGCAGAGGAGGGACACGATGGAAACAATAGCTCAGGAAGATTCACAGTGTGCAGACAGCTTGGAGCTAAGTGGAAGCAGCAGGCGGAGAGCCTGAGGCGTCCTCAAAGACAACAACCCACGGCCTGGCGGAAGAGAACTGGAAAAGAACGAGGCCGCTCACCAACAAGCAGCTGTGGGACCTGGAGCAGATCAGCCACCCGCCCCGCCGGCAGAGCCGCGGGCCAGGACCCCCTCAAGGCCCAGGACCACGCCTCTCCACATCCCATCCAGCAGCGCATCCCGCTACCATGACGACCGTTACCATGGAGACCGGGCGCAGAGGCTGTGGTCCCCGGGGGCGCCGGCAAGGCTCTCCCAACCCCCCTATTCGTGTTGCCTTCTTTTGTTCTGATGCTTATCGGGCAGGACTCCCAAGACGCGTCTCCGGTTCCTCCGAGACAGAAGTGTAAGGGTCGGGGTAGAGGGTAGGAGGGTTCTCTAGCTCCTGGGCAGGACGAGCGCGGGGCACCCATGTCAACTGAGGGCGACCCAAAGGCGAAGGTGTCCAGGGAGAAGGCGACCCTGCACGAGGCCTGCTGTCAGGCCGCCCAGAGCAGCGAAGCCCCGCCAAGCGTCCAGTCAAGCAGCGGCAAGCGTCCCCAGCACCAGGCCGGGCTACCGCCGCTCAGCGCGCCCAAGCCCCGGGATGCGCCCGGAGCGAAGTTCCCCGCGCCCCGAGCGAGGCCCCCCGCGCCCCGGACGCGCCCCGAGCGAGGCCGCCCGCTTCCTGGACGCGCCGGAGCGAAGTCGCCCGCGCCCCGAGCGAGGCCCCCCGCGCCCCGGACGCGTCCCGAGCGAGGCCGCCCGCTTCCTGGACGCGCCGGAGCGAAGTCGCCCGCGCCCCGAGCGAGGCCCCCCGAGCCCCGGACGCGCCCCGAGCGAGGAAGGATGCCGTCCTCGCGAGAACTCGCCGGGCCGAGGCCGAGGCCGGCCTGCAGGGCGCAGCCGCCGCGTCCCCCGCGCCGGGCGCAGGCGGCCTTCGGGAGCCCGCTCATTGGCCGCAGGCGACCCCCGGGAGCCCGCTCATTGGCCGCAGGCGGCCCTCGCCCCACCCTTTCTCCGCCCAATGGCGGCGGCGGGGGCGTGCCCGAGGCGGGCGGCCGCGGCGCGGGGTGCGCTCCTCGTGCTCGACGTTGAGACCCCGGCCGCCGCCGCCGCAGCGCTCGTCCGGGCCCGGCCCGGCCCCGGGGCGCGCCCCGCAAGGTGAGGTGGCCGCTTCGTGTCCCGCTGCGTGCAGAGCCCCCCGCCCCAGCCCCGGCGCTGTCCTCGGCAGTGGGTACCTGGGACCCCCAGCGGCCGCGCAAGGAGGGCTGGGGAGCTCCGCTCTCGGGCTCTGGCCCGGAGGGCTCCGCCGCCGCTGGGCACAGGTTCCGGTGACCGGCGTGACCGGGGTGACCGTTATCCGGCGGGACAGCCGTGTTTTCCGCAGGTCGCCGTTGCAGGGCGCAGGTGACACAGAGAGGGTGGGTGGGGGCGGCATGGGGTCTGCGCTGCCTTCTCCCACCCAGCTTTGTTCCCCCTGGCGCTGTGACCTTGGACGCGGAGTCCCTGTGCCTCGGCACCCTCGGCGAGGAGGGCCGTGATGTGTGCGGGCGCTGGCTGGGGAGGCTCCTGCGTCAGCCGAGAGCTGGGGAGCCCCGGGATTATTTCCCAGGGACAGAGCAGCTCCCAGTGTGCAGGGTGGCGGGGTGTGTGTGTGTGTGTGCGCGCGTGTGTGCGCGCAGGGTGGCTGTGTGTGTGTGTGTCACGTTTCTGTTGTGGTCCCCAGCGAAGGCGCGGTGCTTTGTGTTGGGAAAGGGAATGCCACGCCCACGGGGCTGGGGCGGCTGCGTGCGGACGAGTCCAGAGAGCCCCAGGAGGAGGTTCTAGTCCAGCCTTCACCCTGCTGGCCGCGGCTGACCCTTTCAGAGCCCTCACTGGGAATGGAGGACGGGGTTGCCCCCAGGGAACTGACCCCGGCCTGCCACTGGGCTAGGGCACGGTGGGGATGGAGTGGGTCTTAGCTGGAACAGATGCTGAGTAGTGGAGGAGACACCTGTCTGAGAGGCCCAAGAGTCCTTGCTCCACCTCCTGTTTGGGAGAGAGTGCATGGCCCGCTTGTCTTTGCACCTTTGGTCTGCTGGAGGGAGGGGGAAATGAAGTGACCTCCAATTGAGACTGCCAGGGCTACACCTGCCTCCCTTCAGGCCTGGCGATGTTAGTGGGTTGCTCCGGACTCTGGGGGTGAGCACGCCAGTGAGAGACTCAGTGGCAATTTTCAGGCTTGAATTCCCTGGAGGGCTGCAGGGTACTGCTGCAGGCTAGGGGCAAGGGACACAGAGGGAGGGAGGACCAAGCCCTTTGGCCTGGTCGGGATAAGCCTAAGCAGTTGGAAGGATTGAGACACAAGGCCGAAGGAGTTTAGAGACATGTCCCTTGTCCCACAGCAAGGTGGCCCAGGGCCTCAGAGGATACAGTTCTAGGGCCAGCCTGGAAAAGGGTGGGAGCTCGCTTGAGAGCGCATGGTCATGTGGGACTGTCGGTCACTGTGTCAAAGTCAGCTAGCCTGGAAGCCGCCTTTCCACTATATACCGGCCAGCAGAGCCAGCAACGTGGACACGGCTAGGGTCATGGAATGAAACACCGACAGGAGACCTGTAATGGTGGAAGAGGTCTCTTAGGCCTCCCTTTATTCAGCCATATATACTCCCCCCCTCCCCAGCCCCTTAGCAGAACAATAGGATGCTAATGAGACTGAAAGACCTGGTGCCACTAGACTCAAGCCCATTTCCTGCAGGTGCTAAACTTAAATGCTAATCAACTTCTTAGCCTTGTGGGCTGAGGGTGACCTGCGCTGGGCTGGCCGTTCGCTGCCCCCCAGCAAAGTGCTCCAGGTTCCCTGAGAACCCTTGTCCCAGTGCTCCGCCTCTTCCTGGGCCTGTCCAGGGCGTGACAGTCTATCTAGGGGAGGAGGATGGATGGGGCAGTGGGTGCTGGCGGGAGAGTGTGGGGGTTGCGCCAGGGGCTTCTGGGCAGTTTACTTTTGGGCCCTCTAGGGGCCTGCTTGTCCTGGGAGCAGGAGGCCAGGGAAGTGGTGGTGGAAGAGGCCTCTTGAGCCCTGCAGCCCTGGGATCCTGCCTGGGGGGCTAGCAGTGCAGAGGCTGGGGGGAGGAGGGGGTGTGGAGCTCCCTGGCTGTGCCCCAAGGCCTGTCTGGAGGAGGCCACTGCTTAGCCTGGAAGTCAGTCACCAGGCCCCCAGCAAGGGCGGACCCTGAGCTGGAACCAGGGCTGTTGCCCCTGGGGGCTGCAAGGAGGAGGCTGGGTGCAGGGCCAGGTTCTGGGCTGAGGTTCTTCTCTCTCGTTCTCTCCCTGTGGATGTGCCCTCTTTTCCTGCTCTGTGAGGCCCTCCTCCAGGGTACTGCAAGGGCTCCTGACTCAGAAAGGACGCTGGGCCTCTCCGGCCTCCTTTGGGCCCCCAACCTCTTGTCCCCCTCCCACCCGTGATCCTGTGTCTTGACCCCAGGGACAGTGTGGGATGCAGGTCCTGTCTGCAGCTGGTGGGCACTGAGCTAGGAGAGTGGCCTCAGGGCAGGGGATGGCTAAGTGAATGGTGAGGGTGGTGAGGAGCTCCTTTTCCTGAGAGCCTGCCACCCCATGGGGCCCTGACCGCCACCCCCATCCTGCCAGGCCCAGCCAGGACCCGCCCCCTCAGGCTGCGCTCAGTGTGGTCTGGTAGATGCATGTATACTGAGAGATGCTGGAGACACAGGTGTGGTGCTGGGTTAGGGCTGAGGCCCGGCTAGGGTCTGGCAGGAGGGGATGGCCTGGGTGAAGGCATGCAGGGCCGGGCAGTGGGTAGTGCAAGATGGGGAGCCCTGCTTTGCTGGCTCAGGTGTCTTGTGACTGGCCGTGAGGAGCCTCCAGAGTGTCACTGGGTATCTGGCAGGCCGGGGGAGCTGTCCCCGCCCTGTGGCTACGATGATGTGGGCTCTGCAGTGCCAGAAACGGGCCAGGCATCCTTGCACTTGACCATTTGTTGCATGCCGAGTCCTCAGCTTCAAGGGGTGGCTGGAGTGAATGGGTTGGAGTGCAAGCTGCTCTGACCCCCAGCGACCCCAGCCAGAGCCAGGCTGGGGGTCTGTGTGAACCCCAGGACTGACAGTCTTCGTGATACCTGGCAGGTCACATTGGCAGAGCACTCCTCAGGAAGGAGGCCCTGGTGTGCTTTTTGGATAAGGCTTGCTCACTACCCACAGCCCACTCGTTTGTAGTATTTGAAAGTTGCTTCTAACACGCCATTAGAAGTCTGCCAACTCGCTCTTTTTAAAAGTTAACAGTTAAGCTGACCAATCACGACTCCACAGTGTGTGGAATTGAGGTGTATAAAAACCCTGTGCTGTCCAACCTTGGGGCTGCTGTGGCTGCTCTTGCCCTCCCCCAGTCCAGCGGGACTGGAGGCAGCTGGGAGTCCAGGCTAGCATGAATAAACCGCCCTTATGTTTGCATCAACTTCAGACTCTTAATGATTTCTGGGGATCTCAAAACCTGAGTACAACAGTGGCTCTCCCTGCTGTCTGTAAGGAAACCTGACAGCCAGTCAGCCTTTTTTTTTTTTTTAAAGATTTATTTATTTTTTTACTGGATAAGCAGATATACAGAGAGACAGAGAGGAAGATCTTCTGTCCGATGGTTCACTCCCCAACTGAGCGCAGTGGCTGGAATTGAGCCAATCCAAAGCCAGGAGCCTCTTCCAGGTCTCCCACACGGATGCAGGATTCCGAGGCATTGGGCCATCCACAACTGCTTTCCCAGGCCACATGCAGGGAGCTGGAAGGGAAATGGGGCTGCCGGTATTAGAACCGGAGACCATATGGGATCCTGGCATGTGCAAGATGAAGACTTTAACCACTATGCTATTGCGCCGGGCCCAAGTCAGCCGGCCTTTTACAGGGATATTCACCTAGGATTAGTCTGGCCCCGGCTACTCCTGTTTTCTAGAAAGAGGCCTGGGTGGGCCAGAGGCTCAGACTCAACTCAGGAATGGCCAGCCTATGAGGCTGGCACAAAAGCAGCCACCAGCAACCTGTGGATGAGCACAGGCTGTGTCCCCGTAAACTTCGCTAACAACAGGCTGTGGTTTGCTGCTTCTGTATCTAGAACAATCTCTAGGCCTCTCCCTGTTTTATCTTTTTCTCGCAGTTTGAGAAAGCAGGTCAGCCGTCCTGTAGAGTCCCCTGCCCTCTGGGTTTGTCTTCCTGCTCTTTTTCAGTCATTGAATTGGTTCCATCAGTCTGTGTTTCTTGCAGCTCAAGGCCCCGTTAGATCCAGGTTGAGCATCGTGGGCAGGAAGCTCTGGTCAGCGTATCTGTGACTTTGGGCTGCTCCATGCCAGCAGGCGTCTGTGGGTCAGGTCCCCCCCTGAAAGTAGGGAGATGGGCAGTGAGAGGCTGGGTGCCGCCACCTTGCCCTGCCGCTCACCCCTGATCAGCAGTCGTGTGCTGTTTGGGACACCCGTGTATCAGAGGTCCTAGGTTCAAGGAGCAGCTCCACTCCCAGTCCAGTTTCCTGCCCTGGGAGGCAGCAGCTGATGGCCCTGACATGTTCCTAACTCTTGGCTTTGGCTTGGCCCAGCCCCCACTATTATGGGTGTTTAGGGGCTGAACCAACAAGTGAAGGCTCCCTCTGCCTTCCAGGTAACATGGAAATCAGTGGAAATGAAAAACATAGCTGGTTACCTGCCCGTGGCACCTGCTCCTCCTCAGCCTTCCCCCGTAGCTCAGCCTCACTGCGGGTCCCTGCCACCACCCTTCGGGAGGAGCCAAGTGACTTAGCATTTGATGTTTCCTCTGTTCCAGGCCTAGAGGCGAGCTGGATTGTTTGCTTCTAACGGCTGGTTTAAGGGAAGAGAGTGAGGATGTTGCACTGTCGTCGGTGGTGACACGGGAGTGGTTGCTTGCTTTGTTTTGCTTCCGCTTCTTTATAATCCTTGTGCACTGCTCTGGTTTGTGGATTCTGCCTGTCCCTGTCAGTCACGCTCACAGTTGAGTGGGCACAGTCCCTGGGTGGCCCTCTGGGAGCAGAGGCCGGGGGCTGGGTGGCGGCCTCCGATGGTTTGGCATCTCTGCCCTTGCTGCTCTCAGGAAGGGAACCCCTGAGGACCTGCTTGTCTTCCCTGGGCCCTGTACTGGCCCTGCACACTGCAGGCTGTTGAGTTGGATCCACGCCTGCTACATTGGCCATGTGCCCTGAAGAGCGTGGCCCTCAGCACCCAGCTGACCGCCCCTAGGGTGGTCCAGTCCAGGCCTCCCCTTGGTAGGCTGCCCTTGCCGCAAACCTCGGGTGGCTGGGCCCGGGAGCTCTTTGCTGGCACCACCAGCATCCAGAAGCTGCCCCGGAGCAATGCAGCCCTAGGGCCCTGGATCAGAAGGGTTGGGGAATGGAATGAAGCAGAGACCTTGTGCGATTCCCTGCTTTTGCCCAACCCCAGGCCCGGCCCACAGCCGACCCTCTCTTCTGTTCCCCAGGCTCCTGCTGGTGTCCCTGGAGCATGGGAGGCTGCTGAGCTGGAGGGCCGTTGGAGGAGGCAGGAGTGTGTGTCTCCGCCCACGACAGTGAGGGCGTCCATGGCTGCAGCCAATAAGGGTGAGTGCCTCCCGGGCCTGGCAGGGGGTGGTGGGGAGGCAGGGTGTGCAGTATGCCAGTGTCTGTTGGGTCCCAGGGCTTCCTCAACCCCCAGCGGGCACCTCTATGCTTCCTTGGCATGCTGGCTGGCAATGTGTGTTCCCGTAACTGTGTCCCACTGCAGGAGCTGGGGTGAACTTAGAGTCCAAAGAACTAAAGGTGACCTGGTAGGATTTAGGGGTTGTGTCTGGGGGTGCTCCACAGGGCTCTGGGTGTGTCACGCTGGCCCCCTGGGCCTCAGCAGAATGTCTGAGGACTTAGACCAAAGCCTGCACACAGCCTCCTGACTCTGCTGGTGACATCAAGAACTACGGGCAGGGCTCTTGGGAGGCCCAGGCCTGGAAGCTCAGGGAAGGCTAGGGACACACACTTGGCCTTTCTCAGCAAGTATCCTTGGGCGCCTGCCCTCAGCTCTGCCCTGTGTGTCCCTGGAGAGCCCCAGGCAACTGGAGGTCAGCTGAGGGGAGAGGGTGAGGATGGATGGGGCTCAGGGCCTCTGGGCTCTCCCTTCCTAGGTGGGGGATGGGGTGGTCAGGGCACAGGGCCCCTGGGCTCTCCTTCTTGGCGGCCATCCTCAGTGGCGTCCAGCCATGGCCACAGCCTCCCCTGGGTGGGCGGAGTGTGCTTTCTCACCCTCTGTCCTTCTCTCCTCCTCAGGCTGGTCCCCTGGCACTCTTCTACCCTTGCCTTCCCCAGCCCTCTTCTGCAGTCATTGGGAGGGCCAAGCAGAGGGACAGAGCTGGGAGAGGGTGTGAGGGGTGGGGACTCTGCCCATATGTGCCACAGCGGGAATGGAGGACTGTCTCTCTCTCTCCCTCCCTGCCTCCAAGGTCCCCAAGTGTGGGCTCACGTTAGCCAATCCCTGAGACCCCCACCTATCTGGAGTGTGGCATTTCTTGGGCCCAGGGTGTGGGGTGGGGACTGCAGCCTCGTGATGCCCTGCGTGCACCTGGCCCTGAAGGGAGCCCAGCCAGCTGCTGACAGGCGGGGGCGGGGGGCAGAGGGAGCCGGCAGCCCCTGGACGCTCTTCTGCTCTTCCGCTCTTCCTAGGCAACAAGGCCCGAGTCCGGAGTATCCGCTTCGCAGCAGGCCATGATGCGGAAGGCTCCCAGAGCCATGTACACTTTGATGAGAAGCTGCATGACTCAGTGGTCATGGTCACCCAGGAGAGTGACAGCAGCTTCCTGGTCAAGGTACAGCCTGCTGTGTCTCAGCAGCCTTCGTCCCTCCTCCTCCTGCCTTCCTGGGCCTGCCTGACCTCTCCTCCAGGAGGACGATTGGTCAGCACCTCTCAGCCCCTCCCTAAACCTTGGTTTTCCTCAACTGTCAGATGGGAAGTGGTGACGGTTTAATGAGATTCCTGCATGTAGATCAAAGTGGCCAGAGTCATGCTATCCTTGGCCTCACCTGGACAGCACTGTGGGACAGGCCTCGTGGTGGTGCCACAGGGATGGGCCCACTGTTTGGGCAGTCCAAGGTCATGGTGCCGATTTCTGTTTAACTACAGCAAAGGTCTTCTGGCCCCATGACCCTGTTGGGGATGGCATTCCACTGGAGCAGGTGTGGGGGCCCAGACCACAGGGGAGGGGTGAGGCTCTCACTAATCCACTCCTGAGGGCTTAGCTGTAATCCCTCTGGGCTGAACCCCCTGTGGCCTCATCACACTCCCCACTCTGGGCACCAGTCTTCCCCGGGGACAGGCTTGAGCTGGCAAGGACTGCCTGCTTCCCCACTGCTGTGAGACAGCTCCCACCCACACCCTGCTGGGAGGAGGGACAAGCCCATGCTGTGAGACAGCTCCCACCCACACCCTGCTGGGAGGAGGGAGGAACCCATGTGTGGTTCAGGTGTGTAGCTAGGCTGTGGTAACGGGTGTGGCACTTGCTCCCCTTCCTGGCTTGATCTCCCACCTATCTGGGCTCTCCTCCTGACTTTACCCTGGCGGGTGGCTGTGTGGCTCCTCCCACGGCCAGGCTGTGCCTGACCCACAGTGCTCTGGAAGGAGCAGGATGGTGTGAGGGGCTGGCTGCCTGGGCGCCGCGCTGTGCAGCAACCCGCTGCCTGCGGGGCCAGTTTCAGCTGAGGGACCCAGCAGAGGTGGGGCTCAGCTGTCCTGCTTGTCTGCTTCCGCCAACAACCTCCCCAAAGGAGCAAAGGCGCGAGCAGGAAAAAAAACAAGCTCTTTACCTTTGCCAAATCCATCCTGTCTACTAAAGAAAAAAAATGGAACATAGAGAAAAAGAGGAAGAGATTTGAAAGAATCCACAGTTGTACTGTTCAGAATGAACCGGGACTAACATTTTGACATGCGTTATTCCAAGTGTTTTCCAAGGCCTTGTGGTCAACCCCAGAAAGCTGGCCTCACACGAGACAAGCTGGCTTGTGTCAGTGGATAGTTTTCCATGGGCTTTGACAACTGCCTGGCGTTCCATTATGCATATCTCCGTTGACTTAGCTGGTTCCGCATGCCTGGGTGTTCCGGCCATGTCTGTTTTCTCACTGTTATAAACAGGGCAGTTAGGAGTATTGTTTTGTACATCTCTGAGTATTTCCCCTGGAAAATTTTGCCAAGTGGTCCAGTGGTCACAGGGTCAACAGAGGGCAGGTGCAACCATGGCAGGACATCATTCCAGGCTCATCAAGAGCCTGACAGTCCCAGCTGGCCTCCAGGGGCAGGGCTGCAGGCCCACAGGCACCGGGGGTACACGATGCACTGTGCCTACGGGACTGGCACTCTGTCCAGCACTGCTCAGGAGCCACAGGCTTGCAGTCCCCCTCACCATTGCAGTTTCCAAAGGCAGCATCGGGTCCAGAGGGCACTGGGTGCCAAGCACTGGATGCCAACAACAGAAATCTCTCAGAGCTTGAGTGGAGGCCATTGGATGCAGTGAGCCTCTAGGTGGGTGTCCAGATGTGCGCTGGCCTCAGTGGGGGTGTCAAACTGTTAGATACAGTGAGCCTTTGTGGGGGCAACCAGTGTGCTGGGCTCTAGGGGTACCGGGCTGTTGGACACAGTGAGCCTCTGGGTGGGCATCCAGGTGTGTGCTGGGCTCAGAGGGGTTGCCAGGCCCATGGGCTTGCTGTGGTTGACATAGCTGCTGCAATGTCTGTCTTCCTGCTTCTGGTGCACCCCTTGTCCCATGCTGTGTGGCCTGATCCGGGCAGGCAGCTCACCTGGGTCCAGGACTGGGAGCATCTCCATGCAGCCAGTGGCAAGAGCCTTGCTCTGTGTTGGGCACAGCAGGAAGGCCGGTAGGTCCAGGGTGACTTTACCCTGGCTGTGCTGTGTGGTCCCCAGCCAGTCATTTCCATGTTGAAAGATGGTCCACGGAGGCTACAGGGCCTGCAGGGCTGAGTCCTTGGTGGAAGGGGCTCTGTCCCAGGCCTAGAACCCTGCAGCCTGAGGTGATGGAGGGAGGGGGGCTCCCGGGTTCCCCAGGGCAGCAGTGCCAGATACACACCCTGGCTGGGCCCTGGCAGGAACAGTGGCTGAAGGTGCTTCCCCCACCCATCCCTCCTGCTGCAGGTTGGCTTCCTGAAGATTCTGCACAGGTACGAGATCACCTTTACCCTTCCCCCAGTGCACAGACTAAGCAAGGATGTTGGCGAGGCACCTGTGCCCAGCTTGCACCTCCGGCTGCTCAGCGTTCTGTCTGTCCCAGAAGGTGCGTCTGCTTTCCAGGCTGCTGGAGGGATAGAGTGGGAATGAGAACACAGGGAACTGGCAGCTCAGTATGTCAGGGACATGGTACCCCTGTGTGCTTGCAGTAGGGGTGCCTTGCCGGTCCCCCGTCTCAGACGCCCTCCCCTCCTGCCTAACCAAGGGAAGACCCGTGGGGCTGTGAGAACACCACCTGCCCGGGGCCTGGGTTCTGCCAGGCTGCTGCTCACAATCTGCCTGCTGCCTTCAGGCCGCATCCATGTCCCGGCCTGGCCTGCTCGAGGCTAGGGTGACAGGGTCTCGGCTGCTGTCCCCTGCCCTGGCTAGAGAGCTGGCCCTTCAGCAGATGGAGACCTTTTGGGCCAGAGCCTCTCACAGCCTGATGTACTTAGAGCGTGCCAGCCTGCCTTGGCACCCCTCCTCTTCCCCATCACCCCTTCTGCCTGGCTGCCTGCTTTTGAGGAGTGAAGGGTCTGCTGGAAGCTGGAGTACCTTGGAGCCACACTGGGGGTGGGGGCTGGGAACTCGTGTGGGCCACACCGGGGGTTCTGGGGGCTTGTGTGGGCCACACCGGGGGTTCTGGGGGCTTGTGTGGGCCACATTGGGGGTTCTGGGGGCTCGTGTGGGCCACACTGGGGGTGGGGGTGGGGGCTCTTGTAGATTGCAGAAGACTTTCTGGACCTTTCTTGTGGTTTGCTGGGGGTGGAGTGGCTCTGGGAGTCAGGGAGGTGCTGACAGTGGCCCACGCCCCTGGGCAGGTTACAGCGTCAAGTGTGAGTACTCGGCACACAAGGAGGGCGTGCTCAAGGAGGAGATGCTGCTGGCCTGCGAAGGAGGGGCCGGCACCTACGTGCGAGTGACGGTGCAGGCGCGAGTCATGGGTGAGAGCTTGGCTAGAGCTTGTCCTGATCCTGAAGGTGTCTGAGAAGGGGCCCTGATGTGACTCTGGGCAACTCCTTCCTCCCAGCCTGTCCCCCAGGGAAGGGCCCTGGGGTCAGAGTCCAGCAGGGCCTGACTCTGCACCCTTACCTTGCAGACCGGCACCACGGCACGCCCATGCTGCTGGACGGTGTCAAATGTGTGGGCGCTGAGCTTGAATACGACTCAGAACACAGTGACTGGCATGGCTTCGACTGATGCCCCGGTCCTGTCCTCTCGGGGCCTTCCGCCTTAACCCCACCTTGGCTCCCGACATGCTGCGCAATGGTGTGGCGTCCCCCCTCCTCCCCGGGATGGGCATGGGGGGGGGGAGGGGTGGAGCATCCAGGGGCCTCCGATGCCAGGCCTTGCCCATACTGCTCACCTCTGCCTTCATTCGTGCCACCACCCTGCCCCTCCCATGACCTCCTCTCCCACTTCCTCCATGTGCCTCAGTCTCCTGCCAGAAGCATTGGGTTGAGCCCCCATGGGAGGCTATCTGAGGAGGGAAGTAGGGGCCTGGGGTGGGTCCTACCCATTCCCTACCCCAGCCAGGGTCTGGGTTAAAGACGGAGCTGGCTCTGTGACATGGCCCCACCGCTGCTGCTGCTGCCACCACCTTGCTTTAGCCACCTTTGCTACTCTCCCCCGTGCTTCCCCGGGTGAGGAGTAGGGAGGTGCAGACTCCAACCCCACCCCTCAGGTCTGTGCTATTTGATTTTTAAATGACTGGTTGGGATAGAACTGTAAAGAAATAAAACTTCCAGTGGATACCAGAGGTCTGGCCGACTGTTCCTTCTTGGGTTCCTGACACTGCCAGTCCTCCAAAGCTGGATGCCCATGGGCAGGGCCATCCTTACAGGAGGCAGGACTGCTGTGTGGGGTAGTGTCTACAGAGCTTGCCCAGGAGACCACAGCACCTGCTCCTGGCAGTTTCCTCCCAACCCCCATGCCCTAGACCTCTCCACTGGTGGGCTCCCCTGCGTGGGGCTCTGCAAGGCTTGGCTTTCCTGGAACAATAATGCTTTATTGCCACCTTGGGGCTCACTGGCAGTGGGGCTGGTGCCTGACATTTAACACTGGTAGAGTCTGAGGTCCCCAGTGGTCAGTGTCCCAGCCATGGCTGGACTGGGCTCAATGTGCAGGTTCCCCACTCCCTCTGTGCTCCATACCTGGTCCTGACTTCTGCAGCACCTTAGATTACTGGTGGGCTGCCCTAGGCACCTTCCCCAGTGGGTGACTAGTCTCAGCAAAATCCCCCAATATGCTACCCAAGCCCCTCCCAACTGCCTTCATCACAACCTCCCCCCTCCCTCCCCACTTGAGCTGTGCCATCAGTACACAGCCAGTGCATACAGCTGTCCCTCTAGTGCCTGCCTCCAGCCACTTGGCCTTAGCACAGTATGTTGTGTATTGGGCCTGCTGTTGGTGAGGTGGGCCATGCACGCAGCCCTGCACAGCCTCCCTTCCTGCCTCCAGCAGCCTGCTTTGCTGGTTCTCTGCCTCCCAAGCCACCTGCTTCTCCCGCCCCAGAGTCCAGTTGGTCTCCAGGCCACAGGCTCCTTGCCGGGCTGCGTGGGCCTCTTGGAAACCTCTCCTCAGTCTCCCTGCCCACCGCAGTCCTTGGTCGGGCCAGAGCCCAATCCTAAAGCCAGTCTCTGGATAGTTCCGACCCACCCGCCCTCCAAAGACATCTCTCCTGGGGCTGGTGGGGATACAGATAAGGACTACAGTTCCTTAGCTCCACCCCATTCCGCAGTCCTCGGGACCCGGGAAGGGCAGGCTGGCGCTGGGGCCAGGATCCTCCAGACACGCACTCAGTTGGACAGAAAGTCGATGGCAGCGCGCACCGAGCGGTTGGTGCTGACATCCACGGCGGTGACCTTGATCTCAGTGTCGCCAAACTGCATGGCAGCACGGATCTCGCGGCGGCCGGGGGGCGCGCCGGCGCCATCGTCGGCGGGCTCAAGCTCCAGGCTGAGAGCGCCGCACTTGCGCACGCCGGGGTCGGTGATGAAGTTCGCGTCCTCTGCCGCGCAGCAGTACAGATTGATGAGCACGCGCCGCTGGCCCGGCCGCGCGGGGCAGTAGCTGCGCCGCACCTCCTCCCCCAGGGCCACCGACTGCTCGGCGGCCACGAAGCGCTCGAAGACATCGGTGCACCAGCGGCGGCCGTCGCGAACCAGCAGCTTGTCGGGAGGGTGGCGCCCGGCCACGAAGCGGTTGAGCACGCCCACGCCGTAGGTCAGCGGCGAGCGGCGTACCCGCACCACACCTGGCGCCTGGCCGAAGAGCACGGCGCCCTTGAGGATGGTGAGGCCCACGTCGTGCGGGACCACGACGCGCAGGCCGCGGGCACCCAGCGACGCCTGCACGGCTTGTTGCAACACAGCCGATTCGGCGAAGCCACCCACCAGGAACAGCAGCTTCACGCCCTGCACCTCGGGTCGTGCAAGAAGCGCCTCTGCAGGGTGGAGGGGGAGAGAGAAATGCTGAGGCCACAGCGGTGGGGGAACCGCTGCGTGGAGGCGGCAGAGTATGTATGGGCACGGAACCACGCAGATGTCGGATGCATTCTGTGGACAAGACCCGTGAACCCAATCCCACCACCCTATTCTACAAATCAGAGAAGCAAGACGCCACAGGTTCTGTGGCACAACAGGACCAGACATCACACACCCTCCCCACCGCTCCCAGCTCTCCTCACTCCGACCCTGCAGCTCACAGCTCACCTATGTGCTGGATGATGCCGCTGACGGTGGGCTGGAAGAGTTCGTTCATGGCCTCACAAGACATCCGGAGCATCCCCTGTGAGGACCACTTCACGAAGTTCACGCTGCAGAAAGGGGCCATAGGAGCATGTGGCAGGGCCCAGCTGCTTACCCCATTCCCTGCCCTGCCACCAGGCTGGTGTGCCCTGAGGCACTGCCCACAAGTTGCATGGCAATGGAGGATGAGCTGGACGCTGCCTCTTGTCCCAGGGACTTTAGCTGCCAGGCTGCTGCTTCAGCTCTGACCTGAGGTTCCCAGAGTGAACCAGGGAGCAACAGCTGGCAGGGGCATGTGCAGTGGCCCTCTCCCAGGCTCCATGAGCCCCTTACCCCACCCTCCAGCCTTAGTTCGGACTGTGTATTCCTGGGGTGAATCCTGGCACGGTCTGTGCATGGACCTGCCACCCACAGGGACCCAAGACATTCCTGCCCGGGCCACACCTGCTTCTGCGCAGGGCTGTCTCCACGTTGTGGCCTCGCTGCTTGCGGTAGAAGTCAATGAAAGAGAAGGGCAGCGAGATGTTGAGCGCCCCCGAGCGGTGCGGACCCGCTGTGCGTTTGCGGGCCTCGAAAGCGATGGTCAGATCCACCCAGGCTGCAGGCCGCTGCCGTTTGAAGGTGGCGATGAAGTCTTCGCCGAAGATGCGGCACAGCAGCTGCTCGAAGGCCAGGTCCACGCCCACCGCGCCGTAGGGGCCGCCTGGGGAGTGACAGCAGGTAGAAGGGCAACGTCAGTGCCCGCCGTTCATTCAGGGGCCTGGGTGCTGAGGGGCGCACTGGGTGCTGGGCCACTCACCAGACGCTTTGTACAGCTCCTTCAGAGTGCCATGCGGCTGCTCCAGCTGGTGCACGGTGAGGTCCACGGTGCCGCCCCCGCAGTCGGCCACCACGTAGCGGTCTCCTGTGGCCACAAGCATGGACACACCTTTGGGGCCTGCCTCGCCTAGCCTCCATCCCTACCCTACCTACTGAGGGGGTGTGAGGAGGTGACCTGCGGAGCATTGCTGGAGCAGGAAAGTTAGGCAGGCGCTGAAGCGAGGTTCCACCGGACAAAGACCTTCCTCCCCCATGCTCTCAGTATACCGCACTTGAGGGGGTCAAGAAAACACCCCATCCCCCGGCCCTCACCTGCTTGCATCTCTGCCCACAGCTCTCCGACTCCCGACTCCACCAGGAACGTGCGGCTGTGGCGGGACCTCCGCAGCTGCTCACGGGCTGGGAAAGGGCACGGTTAGGTTAAGGGCTTGCAGGAGAGTAAGATTAGGGCCCACCACAGGCAAACCCTGTTCTCTCACCAAGGCCCCTCAAGAGGACCTGGAGGTCCTCCTGCTCCTGCACGGGAGAGGACGATGCTGAGCCGTGAGGGAGCAGAGGAGCCCAGGGGAAGGACTCCCAGGTGCTGGGTCCACCAGCTGGGACAAGGCTTTCTGTACCCAGTGCTCTCCTTTATTCCCCAAGAGAGCCCTGGCCTGGGCAAAATCATGCTTAAGAGGTTTTGGAGGAGCTGGGGGGTGGGAGCAGCCCGAGGGGGTATTTTGGGGAGCCTATCATGGGAGGAGGTGTCCAGGAGGGGACCACAATTGCCCACAGCTATCCGGGGCATGAGTGCCTCCTCCTGGCAGCAGGATCTGGGACTGATGTCAGGGGGACCACAAAGTGGGGTCCCCATCGGACTCAGCCTGGGGGCTGACATTCCATTTGTTGGTCCCTTTCCAAGCAGCTGCCCCCAGGGGAGCGTGGTCTCCCATCTCCCCCAACCAGGGCATGGCTGAGCCTGTCGTCAGAGTCTGTGCCCCTTCAGGCTATGTGCTCCCCCAACAGGGCTGTGTCTCTCTCCCCCTCCTGGGCACCACACCCCTCTGCCCCTTTACTACAGTGACATGCTGGGCAGTGGCTCACCCTGCCGGAAGCTGGAGTCGATGGAGCGCCGCTCGCCCAGGCGCCCGCCACCTCCACTGCCTGGGGTCCGGCTGCTCAGGTCCAGGAGCTGGTGCAGCCGTAGCTTGCGGCAGTAGACAGAGGCAGCCTCGGGCTCCAGGGCAATGAGGAGTTGGTCTGCATCCTCACGGGACACTAAGCCAGCCTGGGGGTGGGTGCGGGACAGAACCAGGCAGCACCCCAGGGTGGGGAACCAGAGTGAGGGGTTCCCATCTCCCCACTCACACTCTGCCTCTCAGACACAGACTTGGAGCTGCCTCCCAGCCACCCTGTGACCAGGCTGCCTATGATCCAGGGTGCCAAGGAGCTGCCCAGTGAGATGAGACTGAGGGTCCCCCGGCCTGCCATGCGATGGCTAGCTCGGCAGTTAGCTCAGGCCATCGGAGGGAACGGGACAGGATGGGGTAGCACCCGGGGTTGGCCAGCTGGTGCCAGACACTGGCCACAGGTGGCTCCACTCCCCGAGGGCTCTCTGTTCCCAGGGAATCTGAGCTGGCAGGAAGGAAGCAAGTGAAATTCCAGGCACCCAGACTGGCGAGTGGCAGGGAGAAAACACCTGGGCCCCATTGTTTCATGCGGCAGGAGCTGGGGATCCCTTTGGGAGGTCCTTGGTAGCTTGTTGGGGTTCCTTGGATGTGGACCAGGTACGGGAGGGGTTTGGGATGGGGGAGACCTGACAGCCAGGGAACAGTGTGGAGGGAAGCAACGGGAGAAAACACACAGGGGACACAACAGGTGGATGGGTGGGGCAGCCTTGCTGGGGAATGCCCATGTGCTCAGGGTGGGCACTCAACCTGGCTCTTGGGTCATGCCTGGCCCACAGGCATGGGGGACTGCGGGCTCCGCAGGCCCCACAGATAGAGCCAGGCTCTGGGAGAGACCATGCTTCCTTCCTGTTCCCTGTGGCCAGGTACTGTCCCAGCTCCTGATCCCACTTCCTGTAGACTTTGGGCCTCTGTAGCAGCAAGACCTCCCGAGTTTCTGGAACCCACAGGGTTGGGGCATGAGTGGGATCCCTAACATGCTGCTGCCGGCCAAGCACATGTTCCTGGTGCTTGCCCGCTGCTGTGTCTGTCGCTACTGGACAGGGAGCCACCTCACGGGGAGTAGCCTCCAACCCCCAACTTGTCCCTGGAACTTGCCTCTTGGTGGCCAATTCCTGCTACAAGTCTCCCTCCACGCCAGCTGAGGGTGGGACCAGGCTGGGTCAGACCTCAGCCACCGCCCTGCCACCCTCACCCCGACCCCGGAGAACCCTTCTCCAGCCGGCCACACACCCAAGACTGCCCATCTCGGGCTCTGCCTCCAGGGAATCTCTCTTAAGACACTTTCCGCTGGCTGAGGCTGTGCCCTGTGACCCTGCTGCCTCTGTGCCTCCCAGCAGGGGAAGGCCGGGGGTCTTCAGCCCCATGGCCAGTAAGGGCCCCTCCTGAGCAGCGTGCCTGATCCGCCCGCGCATGCTCACCAGGTAGGCGGCCTCTCGCATGAATTGCTTGGCTGGCTGCTTCCAGATGGCAGGCACGGTCAGCACCCAGCGCACGGCGTCCCTCTTGGGCAAGGAGGGGCACTGCTCCTGCAGCTCCTGAAGCAGGAGGGGAGCTGTGAGGGGACCAGCTTGGAGTGGGGGGCTTGTCTTCTGCGGAGAGCTGTAAGTACTGGACATCCCTCCTCCCCGCCCTCAAGTAACCAGGTAACCTGGAAGAATTCCACCCACACAGGAACGCAAAGACCAGGGAGGAGGACCCCTGGCCTCCCGTAGTGGCTATCCAGGGCACAGATTGGTGGGGGGCGTGATGTCAAAGAGAGACCAGAAGGACCTGGGGTCCCCCCGGGTGGCGAGGAGGAATCGCAGGTACCTGGAGGGCATGCTCCTTGAAGAAGCGCAGAGCGTGGGCGAACACCTCCAGGGCAGGCATCTTCCTTCCGTTCACCGCCTCCAGCTGTGTCTTCAAGGTGAGATCCTGGCGGGGGAAGGGAGGGCGGCTCTTCTGGAGGCCACTTCCCAGCACCTGTAGTCTCCCCGCTGTGGAGCCCCAATCTTCTTTGGGCTCTGTCCCCAGCCCTAGCCCCGAGCCTGAAGCCCTCCTCTAACCCGTCAGCACCCCCAAGTCCCTCTGCCCGAGCCCCGCCCCACGGCTGCAGCCAGGTGCGGAGCAGAAACTGGGCTCACAGTGGCGCTGTGGATCTTCATCTTAAACTTCTCGAAGTAGAGCCAGTCCCGCGCCTCCTCAGGGTCCAGGTCGTGGTAGTAATCGCGGGCCGTGTAGCCGAAGCTGTGAAAGGCGCCCTCTGGCGTCAGCAGCAAACAGGTCGGGGTCTTCTGGTGGGCCACGCCTGGGTCCCCACCCTCCCATTTCCTGAGAGGCACAGGGTGGGCCCTGCAGTCAGCGGCTGCATGCCCTCCTCCCTCCAACCTGCCGGGGTACTGGCTCCAGGGCTGGCTCTGTGGCCTTGACCACAGCCTCCTCGAGCCTCAGTCTTACTATCTGTGAAATGGAAACATCAGTTACTACCTCTGGGTTCGCCTGAAGGGCAAACGCAGGCGTCAGGTGCCTGCTACTGTGTTTTATAAATGTGGCCCATGGTTCCTATGGGGGGGGGGGGCGGCCGGCAAGGGCTCTCTCTGACATTCTTTGGACCCCCATTCCCTTTCTGAAGGTAGGCACACCACTGGACCCCAGCTGTCTGTACCCTTGAGAGAAGCTTGCCCTGTGCGTGGAAAAGGCTCTGAGGAAGACTCCTGTCTCATGCACAGGACTGGGAGTAGGTAGACCCCTTCCCTGAGCTCCCAGCCCAGACGCCATCACCTCATCATGTGGATGGCCTCGGGGTCACTGGCAAAGCTGAAGGCATAGCCACTGGATGTGGTGCCGAAGTCGATGGCCACCACCACGGAGAAGGGGGCTGGCTGCAGGGCTCGGGGTTCCGGCTTCTGCAAGTGCAAGAAGGGGGTCAGCCACAGGCCCAGGCCAATGCAGATGGGAGCCTCTGCCCTGGGCTGGCTGTGGGAGCTTGACCGACCCGGCCCTCCTGCACCTAACCACCCACCAGGCTTTCTCTCCAGGCTCCAGGCTTCAGACACCTCTTAGTGCCAAGTGCTAAGAAAGCCAGCGGCCCTTTGGGTGGTCAAGACAGCTCCTCCTGTCCCAGGTCCGGCTCTCTGCCCACCTTCTGCCTGGCCGGCCTCAGCCCTGTCTCCATCTTGTACCATCTTCACAGCCTGCCTCCAGGCAGGGCCCAGTTGCAAGCAACTTTGCTTCTTGGGGCAGCTTTAGTGCCCGCGAGCCTGTGTGTATCTCAGCCTCCTGGCTCTCTGTGCCCACTGTGCAATCCGTGCAGAGTAGGGCGGCCCTTGCCTTCCTGCAGGCCTATCTCTGAGGCTCCCTGGGTGCCTGGAAACCAACAAGGAAGGGCACCTGAGGGGTGGAGAGTATGTCCTGGAGACCTCAAACTGCAAGGTTCCAAACTGATTTTTTTTTTTTTCTCAACTGTGTCTCTTCTCCCCCAGATAGGGCTCAGGTTAAGGTGGGGCTGTGCTTGACAGGAGATGGGAGGCCAATGCTGTGAAGATGGAAGACACACACTGAGCCAGGCAGCAGCAGTGGCCTCTGTGGGCATCCCAGGCCAGTAAAGTCTGGGAGTCAGAATGGGCAGCCTCATTCTGTTGCCCCACGCTAGCCCTCTGGGAAGGCAGGTGCCTGGAGAATTCAGGGGGCATTTCCGTCCCTCCTCCATCTCACTGTTGGCCTGCCCAGCACCCCCTCCTCTGTATCACCAGGTCCCCATTCCCCATCCCTGCTACAGGCTTACGGGAGACTGTGAGGGTGTGAGGGGGGCGATGCCGCAGCTTTCCTGGGTTCTTGGGGAGCCGGGTGGGCTGGGTACTGGTGACCGCTCTGGACTGGAACCTACGGAGAGAGGGCACAGTTAAGATGGGGACTGGCAGGACACCCCCATTAGTCCTTGCTAGGCTAAGTCAAGGGTATAGGTGTGGGGGAAGGGCAGCCTTTTCCATATATTGTTTGGGGACCCACTCTGCCCAGCACCCCCTTGTGCACACAGCAGGGAAGGGCCCAGAGAGGGCTGCAGAACTGGGCTGGGAAGGCCGCTGGGGTGGGGGTGGAGTGCTGCAGCTCTCACTGCCTGGGAGGGGGCAGCTGGCCCAGAGGTGTGGCTGCTCTTTGCAGTTCTGAACTTGGGCCACATGGTTCCAATCAGGCCTAGGGAGAGCGCCCCTCCTCCACCCCACAAGGGCTGTGGCCTGGTTGGAGGAATCAACAGGGAAGGGGGTAGCCCTTTCTCTCTCTCTCTCTCTCTCTCTCTCTCTCTCTCTCTCTCTCTCTCTCTCTCTCTCACACACACACACACACACCAGCATTTACAGCCAAGCCTTGGCTGCAACTTTGCAGGGAGCAAGGAGAGTGGTCCCAGGCATGGCTGGGAGGGGCAAGCAACTCCTGGTGGGTGGGAAGGGCCTACTTGGATGGACACCATGGGGTTGGGCTGAAAGCTGGTCCCCACCCCCTGAGACCCATGGGTGGACCCAGGAAGGCTGGCCAGGGACAGGGTGTGGCATCTGCCGGGAGGATCTGTGGACACACCAGCAGATCTCCTGGCTTCAGGCTGCTCCACAACAGGCATGTGTACTCCCTCGGCTGGGGCCTGCGCTTGTGACCCGGGACAGACCCCAGCACCCTGTGCTCTTGGGGTAACCTGGGGACATCCACGAAGGGCCGGGAATGCTCACATAGTGAGGACTCATGCAGGCTTAAGCCGTATCTCACCAGCTCCAGCCTCAGCAGCCAGGCAGCCGTGCCTGGAGCCTGGGAAGCGAGGCAGGAAGGAAGGGCCCAGCCCGCCAGGTCTTTGTGAATGGACTTCCTGAGGCCTGTGGCCTCCCACCCCTGCAGGAACCCAGAACCACTCCCAGGGCAGCTCACAGGCATGCGTGCATGCACCCCTGCACGCTCCACACTCACACACACTGCCTGAGCACAGACACCTGCCAGGGCTACACAGAACACAGCCACATCCAGCGTAGGTAAGTGGATTTGGCTTTGTGTATACCCTCCCTGCTCACCCGGCCACATGCAGGTCCTGTGTACACACACATGCATGTAGACACATTCACACACATACAGGGTCTCCCTTCCCGTGCCCACACACACAACTTCACTCACAGGGAGCCCAAAACAGACCTAACCCAGTGCTGGGAGCCAGACTCTCCTTGCACCCCCATGCACAGCCTGAGAGCAAATGTGCCTGGTGTACACACACACATGTCCACATGGGGTTCCCTGCACATCACACACACACAGACTGTGCACACAGACCAGCCATGCACACACATGCCCACACGGGGTTCCCTGCACACACACATACACATACACACACATGTCCACATGGGGTTCCCTGCACACACACATACACATACACACACATGTCTACATAGGGTTCCCTGCACATCACACACACACACACACACACACACACACACACACACGGACTGTGCACACAGACCAGCCATGCACACACATGCCCACACAGGGTTCCCTGCACACACACACACACACGGACTGTGCACACAGACCCACCGTAAACATACATGCCCACGTGAGGTTCCCTGCACACACATACACACACACACACACAGGGACTGCACACAGACCCACCATGCACACACACATGCTCTCACAAGGTTCCCTGCACATCACACACACGCACACACACACAAACACACACTCATGGTCTGAGGCTCTTACCGATGTACAGCCCCTGCAGGCCCAGCTCTGGAACAGCCAGCATCTTGCAGGCTTGCAGCTGTCAACAGGAATAGGCAAGCGGGATTGGGATCTGTTTGTTTCCTCTGTGCCCTCCCTAAATGCTTATTTATTTACTTTCAGCTGGAGTCTTTTGAAGCAAATCCCAGACACCATGTTGTTCACCTATAAAATCTCCAATACATTTGACGCACTAAAAGAAAACGACGTTTGGGAAAAGTCACTACAACACCGTAAACCCTCATGTTGGACAAAATGAACAGTCATTCCTTAGTCTCCTGACAAGCTCAGCTCCACAGGCCAGGCACGTCTCTAAACTGGCTTTGCCCTTCACGAGGCAAGATGCTTCTCTCTGGTTTCTGGTGTCCACCATGTGCCATGTGCCAGGGAGACATGAGTGTCCCTGCCCTGGGGATGGCTGTGCAGATGGCCGGGAGCCCAAGAAGGCTTCAGAGAGGGGCCGGCTCGATTCATGCAGGATGCATTTTACAGCCAATCTAGCGGGATCTGCGATGGGGTGGGGGCAGGCTATGGGTGAGTGGGGTCTTTGGGTGATGTGGAAGCAGGAACCCCCTCGGGCCCACACAGCCCTCCAGGTTGTGGACGATGGTGGAGGGCACATGCTTTGAGATTCAACTGGAGACATGCAGGAGCCAGAGGTGGGACTCAACAGCAGATGGGCTGAGGGGGGAGGGGAAAGAAGGTGCTGAGGCTGGTAGGGTCTGGCTGTGGCTAGCAGCTGGGTCGTGAGGTGGAGAATTCTGGAGCAGGAGCAGGCTACCAGCAGCAAGCATCTGGTCAGGAAAACAGAGGCGACAGCCTGAGCCAGAGGGGTGGTGACCAGGAGGGCAGGGAGAAACCCAAGCTGGGAGGCTGGGCAGAGCAGAAGGATCTAGGGAAGTGGGGAGCAGCTACACGTGAACGCTGAGCAGGGCCTGGTGGGCTGGCCGAGAGAGGGGGCCCCTCCTGGGGACTCAAAACACCAAGGAGAGAGAAGGCAGTAAAGCCAGATGTCTTGAGGAGATCCTCAGATGAGACCAGAAATTCTGTGGTTATGGTCCAAGCAGGTGCGCTCAGGTGAGGGGGCTGAGCCACTTGCCAGTCAGGAGCACATGGGAGGGGCCTCAAACCCAAAAAAGGGTATTTTCTACATTGGGACAAACTCTGAGTTTGTGTCTGTGAAGCTCCGGGTCTTAGCTTCCAGGCAGGACCCCCCAAGTCCATCAGCATTGCCTGGGGGCCTGTGGGAGATGCACAGCTCAGAGCCCATCCAGACCCGCTGGAACGTGTGTTCTGTCAAGCTTCGCAGGAGCTGGGCGACGAGCCTGCCCCACAGCAGGCTGCCTGGGATGGATGACCAAGCTTCTGACTCCTGCTGCTGCAGACCCGGGAGGCAGCAGGTGCTGGCTCTAAGAGCTGGGGTCCTGTCCACCCTCGAGAGATCTGAATTGAGTCAGGATGCCCAGCTCCATCCAGTCCTGCCTATTGTGGGCACTTTGGGAGTGAACCAGCAGCTGGGACTTTTTCCCTTAATGGTCTCTCAAATTTTGAAAACAAAAATGATAAAATGATAAAATCCCCAGGTAATTCAGGCGCTGCTCTCTAGTGTCCCACGGCCAGTTTTTTTTTTTTTTTTAAGATTTATTTACTTTTATTGCAAAGTCAGATATACAGAGAGGAGGAGAGACACAGAGGAAGATCTGTCCGATGGTTCACTCCCCAAGTGAGCACAATGGCCAGTGCTGTGCAACCTGAAGCCAGGAGCTTCTTCCAGGTCTCCCACACAGGTACAGGGTCCCAAGGCTTTGGGCCATCCTCGACTGCTTTCCCAGGCCACAGGCAGGGAGCTGGATGGGAAGTGGAGCTGCCGGGATTAGAACCGGTGACCATATGGGATCCTGGGTGAGCAAGGCGAAGACTGTAACCACTACGCTATTGCGCTGGGCCCCCATGGCCAGCTTTAAGCTTGTCCATGCAACGATCTTCATCTGGAGAAGGCTGCCCAGAGTCAGCTCCCTTCTGTATCCAGGGGTGCAAACAAGCCAGTGCTTTCTATGTCCACGTAGCCAGCACCAGGGAGATCGCCACCGTACACAGGCTGTCTGGCTACCTTCTGTGTGGAGGGAGCCAGGGGAAGGGTGAGAGCTGGCCCTGGGCCCTCGGAGAGCAGAGAGGTGACTCCGAGAGAAGGCAACACAGACAGAGGGGGCCGGTGGGGAGCTTGGGAGTCATGGCCAAGGCCCCCAGGCTCAGGGCGATGGAGCCCACCAGCTTGCAAGTGCTCATGCTGATTTTGGGGGCATCACACAGGTGAGCATGACATCAGCCAAAGCTGGGGGTGCCAACAGCACTGAAATCGGCGAGCCCCCAGCCTCGCTCAGAGAGGTGGCTTCCAGCACAGCACTCCGTCAGAGCCGTAGGGGAGGAGCTGGTGGCCCCTTGGTGTGTTACTTGAACTCTCCCACCAACCCGTATTGAGCAGTTCTTCATGCTGGACCCTGCCATGTGCTGGGGAACCTCTCTGTTGAGAAAATAATCCTCTAATCCTAGGCGGGGGCACCTGGGGAAATATCTAGAAGTGGTGGGGCAAAGACTTGGCCTAGCCACGCTGACCTGGAGTTCCCCAGCTGTCGCAAGTTGCTGTCTCCTGCGCATTGTGACACACTGAGTGTCCCTGAAGGCAGGGCCCACCCAGTTGGCACAAGTGCCTGTACTGTGGGTGGCATGGGGCGTGTGTAGGGCGGCTGTTGGGAAAGGCAGTGATTGGGCCAGCGTGGACAGACGTGAATTTGCATCTCCTCTTGTTAGAAGGTCTGGGTCCTTCTGGGAGACTTTAGTCACCCTGAGTTCTTCAGGGCAGGGGGGGAGGTCCAACTGAGTCAAAGTGTGCCACAAAATATTCCAGCGATTTGAGGAGCTGGAGGCCACACACATGCACACGCGTGCCCCCTGTGTGCTGGCTGCCTGCACCCCCCCACATATGTGTGCCCCGTGTGTGCTGGCTGCCTGCGCTACACACACACATGCGTGTGCCCCGTGTGTGTTGGCTGCATGTGCTCCATACACACATGCATGTGCCTCACATGTGTTGGCTGCCTGTGCCCCCCCACATATGTGTGCCCCACGTTTGCTGGCTACCTGTGCTCCATACACACACTTGCATGTGCCCTGCGTGTGCTGGCTGCCTGAGCTCCACACGCACGCACACATGCCCCACGGGATACACACACGCTCAGTCTCACTTAAGGAGAGTGCTGACCCGGGACTCAGGGGATGGGGAGAGATACGCCTTCCCCCTGGGGCCTCCACTGCACAGGGTAATCGGCTGGGCCAGTCTGATTTACTCAGCAAGTAAAGTCATTCACACCAAATCCTTAGAGGGACTCACGCCCTGCCCGGGAACTGATCTTCAACTCTTGGCCTCAGGGTGACCCTGAACCCTGGCCTTGACTTCTACCCCAAAACATGGTCAAGAAACCACTGGGGGACCTGGACTCACCCCACCCCCCCAGTCTCAGGGCAGCCAAGGATGAGGCTGGGCCAGCTTGAGGGAAGGAATTCTTGGTGGCTTTCCTCCTGGGGTGAGGTAGGGTGCTGTGCAGAGATCAGAGAGCCGTGGGCGTGTGGCTTTGCTGCGCTTCAGGGCTCCACACCAGCAGCCCATCCCGCCCTGATGGGCCACCCTCCTCCCCGGAGCCCTGCCCATCCTGTGCACTGCCCACTGTCCAGCCTTGGATTGACTCTTGAGAGGAATGGGACTGTCACAACGGGTGAAGCTGGGTCACAGGCATTCAAGTCACAGATGGGGCCAACCAGGGCCCAAGGTAAGATCAGGCACTGCACCCCAAGGGTGCAGTCCCTAGACGGGGGCTGGCTGCCCAGGCTGTACTGGGGCAGGGGACACATCAGGTGCCTCCCATGACCAGGCCCTCCTCTGCCCTTGGTTTTCCATACATCCTGCCTGCCCCACCCTGTGGCTCCCCAGGACAGGGACAGCCAGGTCACAAACAACCTGGGTCCCAAGGGCCCTGCTGCCCTCCCCCCCACACACCCTTGCCCCCTCACTCCTGGGTCACGGTGGCTCTCCCAGCTCCCTCCCAGCCAGGGCCAGGCTCTCCCACACTAGCTTTTGTCCCAATACCACCCCCCGCCAGGTAGGGTAGCAGAGCCCACGGTCCACCCCAGCTGAACCCCCCACATGGGCCTCAGGGAAAGCAGCAGGGAGCCCCTGGCACCGGCCTGTGGAAGCACCCCCACTTCCACGCCCCACACAACCAGCTCCGGAACTCCCCGAAACGAAGCGCCCCACAACGCGGTCCCCCAGAGCAGGCGCTGGCCTCCAGGCTGATGCATGGGAGTTCTGAGCCGCCAGAGAGGGCCTTGCACAACAGATCCCTCCCGACTCCCTCGCTTTTGGTGGGGTCTCAGCCCTCAACCCCCCATGCCTTCCTGCTCTCTAGGAGCCCCACCGCCCCCGACCCAGAGCTCACCTCTGCGCTCTAGACAGCCTGAGCCTGTCCCACTGACCGCCTCGATCCCGGGCCGCAGCCCTCGACGTGCGCCCAGCTGCCGCGGGCTGTCGGTGGTTCGGCCCCCGGTTCGGCCCCGCGCCGCCCACCCCGCCCGCCGCCCCCTCCCCCAGGCCGGATGGCCGCGCTCACTCGCAGCCCAGATGTGCGAGGCCGGGGCGGGGCCTGCCTGCGCTGGCCTCCTCCACCGCCGCCCGCCGAGGGGCCCAGGCTGGCCCGGCGTCCAGGGCCCCTCCCTGCGCCCCTCCTGCGAGCAGCCAGAGGGGTGGGAGCAGGCAGCGGGGGAGGTGGAAGGAGGCGACCAGGAATTCCAGACCCTCTGGGGCGGGCGGGGAGGCGCTGCAGGCAGGCGGCAATTCCTGCAGCCCAGCTGTGCTGGGGCCCCCACCCGCGCCCACCTCCCACCGCCCACAGCCCACCTTGTTGGGGAGCCCAAGCCGCTGGGGAGGGAGGACCCTGCCCCAACCGCCAGGCTTTTGACTCAGACCCCTACCCTTGTGGGCCCCCGCCC